AACACAAACATGTTTCATTCATATTATTTCAGTATTGAATCGCATTCCAAATTATTATGCAAATTAGATTTAAGTGTCATAAACATTTAATTTTTTGTTTTTCAATTAAACTCATGGATGGTATTGTGTCTCAGGGCTCTTTGGATCATTGAAATCAATCTCAGACACCTGTGATAATTAGTTTGCCAGGTGAGCCCAATCAAAGGAAAACTACTTAAGAAGGACGTTCCACATTATTAAGCAGGCCACAGGTTTCAAGCAATATGGGAAAGAAAAAGGATCTCTGCTGCCAAAAAGTGTCAAATAGTGCAATACCTTGGACAAGGTGTGAAAACATTAGATATATCACGAAAACTTAAGCGTGATCATCGCACTGTAAAGAGATTTGTGGCTGATTCAGAGCACAGACAGGTTTGTGCAGATAAAGGCATAATGAGGAAGGTTTCTGCCAGACAAATTCATCGCATTAAAAGAGCAGCTGCTAAAATGCCATTACAAAGCAGCAAACAGGTATTTGAAGCCGCTGCTGCCTCTGGAGTCCCGCGAACCTCAAGATGTAGGATCCTCCAGAGATTTGCAGTTGTGCATAAACCTGCTATTCGGCCACCCCTAAACAATGCTCACAAGCACAAACGGTTGCAGTGGGCTCACAAATACATGAAGACTAATTTTCAAACAGTCTTGTTTACTGATGAGTGCCGTGCAACCTTGGATGGTCCAGATGGATGGAGAAGTGGATGGTTGGTGGATGGCCACCATGTCCCAACAAAGTAGCGACGTCAGCAAGGAGGTGGTGGAGTCATGTTTTGGGCCGGAATCATTGGGAGAGAGCTGATGGGCCCCTTTAGGGTCCCTGAAGGTGTGAAAATGACCTCGGCAAAGTATGTAGAGTTTCTGACTGACCACTTTCTTCCGTTGTACAAAAAGAAGAACCGTGCCTTCTGAGGCAAAATCATCTTCATGCATGACAAAGCACCATCTCATGCTGCAAAGAATACCTCTGTCATTGGCTGCTATGGGCATAAAAGGAGAGAAACTCATGGTGTGGCCCCCCATCTTCCCCTAACCTCAACCCTATTGAGAACCTTTGGAGCATCCTCAAGCAAAAGATCTATGAGGGTGGGAGGCAGTTCACATCAAAACAGCAGCTCTGGGAGGCTATTCTGATCCTGCAAAGAAATTCAAGCAGAAACTCTCCAAAAACTCACAAGTTCAATGGATGCAAGAATTGTGAAGGTGATATCAAAGGAGGGGTCCTATGTTAACATGTAACTTGGCCTGTTAAGATGTTTTTCATTTAAATAGCTTTTGATTTCAGTAAATATGACCTCCTAATGCTGCAAATTCAACAAATTACCATTTTTGGTTCTTTACAACCTATAAAATGTTTTGAAACTCTGTTGTACATAATAATTTGGAACATTTGACTTTTTTATTTTTGAAAAAAATACTGTTATCATTGGGAGGTTTGTTCAATAAAATTTTAATTATACTCTAACGGTTGATGACTTGAAAATTATACTGACTGTCATTTGCATCGACTATTTAGGAAAATCTGAGAAAAATAACATTTGCATAATAATTTGGAATGCACTGTATTCTTATTCTCACCCTCTCCTCAGGTACAGACCTGTTACAGCACCAGTGGAAGAGGGTTCAACATCAGGGCAAAGACAAATTAATATTTTCTGAAGGTGTAAATTCTGACATGGAGGATCTGAGTTGTTCTGCTACAGAAAGACCATCAGTAGATTCTGGTGAGGAAACTCAAGATCCAACTTAGTTTAAAATGGAATCAGCTCTAATGGTTCATCGTCATGAATATAAATCTATTAGAAGATCATTTTGTCTGAAGTTTTCTACAGTAGAAACAGTGTCTTACTGTGTGTGTGAAGGTCCAGGTTCATTCCTGAAGAACAGAGGAGGATCTCTGGACCGGTCACTCTTCACAGACAGACAGCTGGGGACTGGAGACTCTGCTCTCCGTCTGTAGGACTCACCTCTGCAAACACAAACATGTTTCATTCACATTATTTCAGTATTGTTCTTTATTTATTCAGAGACACTGAAAGCAACACTCTCATTCACAATGGTGCCCTGCAAATACAGAACCAGCCATTCAACAGAGTGGAGAAAGTCCAGATTTATAGATTTAAGTCTAGCGTTCATCACATGAAACGTAACTTAACCGAGTCATAAACTGCTCTATAGATAAAAAGGGCGAGACACTCGTGTGCTTGGGTCTCCTTGACATGCTTTTCTATCTTTGTGCTATTCACATGATTTATTTCTGTATTTCACTTACTGTCAATATCTGAATGTAAATTCATCCTAAACACTTATAATTCTTCCTGTGATGGCGTCATCAATGAATGTAGTTTGTTATGGAAAGTCAACTGAATATTTATGTTACTTGGTTTTGATTTGCAACATAAAGGCGCCGCCTTCCTTGCTGGCAGCCACGGTATTTCAGCGCAGCACTTCACCGTGTGATAATATACAGTATATTTGTGTTTTATGTTCAATGTCTAAATGTTGTTTTAATGTTGTTTTAATTGTGTGTTTTTGAGCTGTTGTCACCAAGTTAAATTCCTGTGTCCTGTGTACATTTGGTGATTAAAGTGATTCTAATTCTGATCTGGATAAAAAATAAGGCAGTAAAACTTTGGTGACAAAAAAACAACAAACAAACAAACAAATATGCAGATGTGTCACACACTCTGGCGACGCTCAGATGGTCACAGAGCGACTTCAACATGAGGGCAAAGACAAATACTTTCTCAAATGATTAATTCTGACATGGAGATTCACACTAATCAGCATCATGAATGTAAATATCTCTCTTACTGTGTGTGTGAAGGTCCAGGTTCATTACTGAAGAACAGAGGAAGATCTCTGGACCGGTCACTCTTCATAGACAGACAGCTGGGGACTGGAGACTCTGCTCTCTGTCTGTAGGACTCACCTCTGCAACACAAACATGTTTCATTCATATTATTTCAGTATTGTTCTTATTCTCACGCTCTCCTCAGGTACAGACCTGTTACAGCACCAGTGGAAGAGGGTTTGTGTATTTATTCCTGACATTTGGAAGGATCTGAGTGTGTTTGTGCTACGAAGAAAGCGCACTCACAGTTGCCAGATTACATGGTGAGGAAACTCAAAAGATCCAACTTAGTTTAAAATGGAATCAGCTCTAATGGTTTCATCGTCATGAATAATAATCTGAAGTACTTTAGAAGATCATTTTGTCTGAAGTTTTCTACAGTAGAAACAGTGTCTTACTGTGTGTGTGAAGGTCCAGGTTTCATTCCTGAAGAACAGAGGAAATCTCTGGACCGGTCACTCTTCATAGACAGACAGCTGGGGACTGGAGACTCTGCTCTCCGTCTGTAGGACTCACCTCTGCAAACACAAACATGTTTCATTCATATTATTTCAGTATTGAATCGCATTCCAAATTATTAATGCAAATTAGATTTAAGTGTCATAAACATTTTAATTTTTTTGTTTTTCAATTAAACTCATGGATTAGTATTGTGTCTCAGGGCTCTTTGGATCATTGAAATCATCTCAGACACCTTGTGATAATTAGTTTGCCAGGTGAGCCCAATCAAAGGAAAACTACTTAAGAAAGGAACGTTCCACATTATTAAGCAGGCCACAGGTTTTCAAGCAATACTGGGAAAGAAAAAGGATCTCTGCTGCCAAAAAGTGTCAAATAGTGCAAATACCTTGGACAAGTGTGAAAACATTAGATATATCACGAAAACTTAAGCGTGATCATCGCACTGTAAAGAGATTTGTGGCTGATTCAGAGCACAGAACAGGTTTGTGTGCAGATAAAGGCATAATGAGGAAGGTTTCTGCCAGAACAAATTCATCGCTTAAAAAGAGCAGCTTGCTAAAATGCCATTACAAAAGCAGCAAACAGGTTATTTGAAAGCCGCTGCTGCCTTCTGGAGTCCCGCGAAACCTCAAGATGTAGGATCCTCCAGAGATTTGCAGTTGTGCATAAACCTGCTATTCGGACCACCCCTAAACAATGCTCAACAAGCACAACACGGTTGCAGTGGGCTCACAAATACATGAAGACTAATTTTCAAAGCAGTCTATGTTTACTGATGAGTGCCGTGCAACTTGGATGGTCCAGATGGATGGAGTAGTGGATGGTTGGTGGATGGCCACCATTGTCCAACAAAGTAGCGACGTCAGCAAGGAGGTGGTGGAGTCCATGTTTTGGGCCGGAATCATTGGGAGAGAGCTGATGGCCCCTTTAGGGTCCCTGAAGGTGTGAAAATGACCTCGGCCAAAGTAATGTAGAGTTTCTGACTGACCCACACTTTCTTCCGTTGTACAAAAAAGAAGAACCGTGCCTTCTGAGGCAAAAATCAATCTTCATAGCATGAACAACAGCACCATCTCATGCTGCAAAGAATACCTCTGTCATTGGCTGCTATGGGCATAAAGGAGAGAAACTCATGGTGTGGCCCCCCATCTTCCCCCTAACCTCAACCCTATTAGAGAACCTTTGGAGGCATCCTCAAGCAAAAGATCTATGAGGGTGGGAGGCAGTCACATCAAACAGCAGCTCTGGGAGGCTATTCTGATCCTGCAAAGAAATTCAAGCAGAAACTCTCCAAAAACTCACAAGTTCAATGGATGCAAGAATTGTGAAGGTGATATCAAAGGAGGGGTCCTATGTTAACATGTAACTTGGCCTTTTAAGATGTTTTTTCATTTAAATACTTTTGATTTCAGTAAATATGACCTCCTAAGCTGCAAATTCAACAATTACCATTTTTGGTTTTTACAACCTATAAAAAGTTTTGAAACTCTGTTGTACATAAAATAATTTGGAACATTTGACTTTTTTATTTTTGAAAAAAATACTGTTATCATTGGGAGGTTTGTTCAATAAAATTTTAATTTATACTTCTAACGGTTGATGACTTGAAAATTATACTGAACTGTCATTTGCATCGACTATTTAGGGAAAATCTGAGAAAAATAACATTTGCATAATAATTTGGAATGCACTGTTTCTTATTCTCACCCTCTCCTCAGGTACAGACCTGTTACAGCACCAGTGGAAGAGGGTTCAACATCAGGGCAAAGACAAATTAATATTTTTCTGAGGTGTAAATTCTGACATGGAGGATCTGAGTTGTTCTGCTACAGAAAGACCATCAGTAGATTCTGGTGAGGAAACTCAAGATCCAACTTAGTTTAAAATGGAATCAGCTCTAATGGTTCATCGTCATGAATATAAATCTATTAGAAGATCATTTTGTCTGAAGTTTCTTACAGTAGAAACAGTGTCTTACTGTGTGTGTGAGGTCCAAGTTCATTCCTGAAGAACAGAAGGAAGGATCTCTGGACCGGTCACTCTTCACAGACAGACAGCTGGGGACTGAGACTCTGCTCTCCGTCTGTAGGACTCACCTCTGCAAACACAAACATGTTTCATTCACATTATTTCAGTATTGTTCTTTATTTATTCAGAAGACACTGAAAGCAACACTCTCATTCACAATGGTGCCCTGCAAATACAGAACCAGCCATTCAACAGAGTGGAGAAAGTCCAGATTTATAGATTTAAGTCTAGCGTTCATCACATGAAAACGTAACTTACCGAGTCATAAACTGCTCTATAGATAAAAAGGGCGAGACACTCGTGTGCTTGGCGTCTCCTTGACATGCTTTTCTATCTTTGTGCTATTCAACATGATTTATTTCTTGTATTTCACTTTACTGTCAAATATCTGAATGTAAATTCATCCTAAAACACTTATAATTCTTCCTGTGATGGCGTCATCAATGAATGTAGTTTTGTTATGGAAAGTCAACTGAAATATTTATGTTACTTGGTTTTGATTTGCAACATAAAGGCGCCGCCTTCCTTGCTGGCAGCCACGGTATTTCAGCCGCAGCCACCTTCACCGTGTGATAATATACAGTTATATTTGTGTTTTATGTTCAATGTCCTAAATGTTGTTTTTAATGTTGTTTTAAATTGGTGTTTTTGAGCCTGTTGTCACCAAGTTAAATTCCTCGTGTCCTGGTGTACATTTGGTGATTAAAGTGATTCCTAATTCTGATCTGGATAAAAAAATAAGGCAGTAAAACTTTGGTGAAAAAAACAACAAACAAACAAACAAATATGCAGATTGTGTCCACACTGCGGAACGTAGAGACCCAAATGGTCCAAGCAGCGACTTCAACATGAGGGCAAGACAAATATTCTCAAATGATTAATTCTGAATGGAGATCACACTACATCACACATCGATGTCCAACTATTCTCCTGAGTGTGGAAGGTAGGGTTATCATTCTCTGACAGAACAGAGGAGGATCTCTGGACGCGTCACATTTCATAGACAGACAGCTAGTGAACTGGAAGAATCTTGCTCTCTGTCTGTAGGACTCACCTCTGCACACAAACATGTTTTCATTCATATTATTTCAGTATTGTTCTTATTCTCACGCCTCTCCTCAGGTACAGACCTGTTACAGCACCAGTGAAGAGGGTTCAAACATCAGGCGCAAAGACAAATGAATATTTCTGAATGTGTAAATTCTGACAATGGAGGATCTGGAGTTGTTCTGCTACAGAAAGACCATCAGTAGATTCTGGTGAGGAACACACGCATCCAACTTAGTTTAAAATGGAATCAGCTTCTAATGGTTACTCATCCATGAATTATAATCTTTTAGAAGATCATTTTGTCCTGAAGATTTTCTTACAGTAGAACGTGTCTCACTGCTGCGTCGTGTGAAGGTCCAAAGGTTCATTACTGAATCGTTTAGAGTTATTTTACTTGGAGCCGGTCACTCCGACTAGACAGACAAGCTTGGGGACTGAGCAGACTGCTGTCCGTGCCTCACTCTTGCATCCACGAGTCATCAATCTTCTTGGACTTGTTCAGTCAGTCCTGAGAGGAAATCCATATATCATCGGACTGTGAGATAACACGCGCCGAGCGAGGGAGGGAGGGAGGGAGCGGAGCGAGCGAAGCGCTGCGCGCGCGCGCAACACACACACACACATCACACACTGTACTGTATAATAAAGTAAAATACTTATAAAACCTGGATCAGTGTTTCTTAGGTAGTTGTAGGTTGTGAATATTCAACGTCGTGTCACAGACGATCAAACGGTTGATTTGACGAGAGAACACGGAAGTACCACCCTCATGTTATTTCCTGCTTTCATCAGTGTCTTTGTTTGGACAAGAAGTCAATTCGGACTCTTCCTTCCAGCCACAGAGAGAAAACTTGACTCTGACACTTTTGACAGTAAAATAAGAATTAATGTTGTTTTAAAAACGCTCACCTGCTCAGACTTCAGCTCCCTCCTTCTGCTCCGTCGATCCAAAATAGGAGTCTAAACTTTCAAAGTTTCACTTTTTACCCTCGCCGAGACTTACTGGAAATCACGTGTTTGTGTACGTGTGTGTGTGTGTGTGTGTGTGTGTGTGTGTGTGTGTGTGTGTGTGTGTGGTGTGTGTGGTGTGTGTGTGTGTGCGTGTGTTGTGGTGTGTGTGCTGTGTGTGTTGTGTGTGTGTGTGTGTGTGCGATGTTGTTGTTCACCAGTAAGAAAAAACAAAATAAGGGGCGAGGTTTCACAAAAGAACAAGGACATACACGTCTATACAACCTTGATTTGGAAATGCAGACATGGAAGAAACAAAGTTAAACATCTTATTTATTTTAAAAAAGAATATTTTTTCTTCCACATGATGGGAGGAGTCCTCGAGGACTATGGAAACACCACAGAGCAGCAGGAAAGTATTGTTGAAGGACTTCCTGGGTTTTGAAGTGTTTTTATTTTATTTTATTATTTAATTGTAAATACATTTATTGTATAAAAAAAAATGATAAATAAATGAGTTTTTTCAAACGTATCAGGGATTTACGCTTCAGAAAAACTGATGCTCAGCTCAGTGACCCCGTGTGATGGTAATAAATAACACGAAGCATTGTCGTTTTCGTATTTCTTTTTTTTGTGTCAGTGATGACGTTTGGTCGAGATAAACACAATCTCTCTTAATTTTTAAAAGTCGTTCTTTATTTCTAAAAATGTGGAACAATGCACGTAAGATAACGCCATGGTGCTCTGGTGAAGAATCTTTGGTTTTTCTCCTGTGGTGAACACAGAGTATTATTACTATCACATTTTTCAAAATAAAAGATTGACTAAAAGTGGCTGCTTCAAAAGTAAGGGTCCTTCATAGAAATGCAGTGGATGTCAAAAGTACAACATTTGTCTTTAAGTGTAGTGGAAGTAAAAGCCAGAAGTTTCCAAAAAAGAATAATATAAGTGCAGTACAGATACACAAGAAATATAGTACAGTACTAGTTCAGTACAGTACTGAAGTAAATGTACTTTGTT